CTGATTGGTGCATTTCTGAAGATGGATGGAAATACACTAATCAAAACAGAGTATTTCTATCCAGCAAGCAATCCAGCACGAAAACAAGCACCGTGTGCCGCTGGCTTTATTGACGTTTGCTGCCGGCTGATTGTACTAGTGACATCTGCTCGAGAACAAAAAGTGCAATAAATAGGCGTGTTCAGCGGAAAAAGCGCTCAGTGAGCAATTAACGATTATTGGTTCTTACTATTAGATCCCTAAATCTAGACCAATTACATTGACGAATTGCTCAACTATGTACAACTGTTGAGTTCGTTGAATGCACCCATTGGCTTGATTTACATTGTGCACTTGATATGCGTACTATATAGTAACTTTCTATTAAATAATCTTAATATTGACAATGCATATTGTCGCATATGCATATTTGAACGACGACGCATTCAATCGATACAATAATGGCTCCTGCCCATAGGACGCGGCAACGCTCGCCGCGCGGCGGAAGTTTATACGATAGCCAATCAATATGCTGCTTTCCGTAATAACCTTCTAGCTCTTACGGAAAAACAACATATTGATTGGCTATTGCGTGGATTTCTGCCGCGCGGCAAGCATTATCGCGTCCTGTGTGCAGGAGCCATAAGTCTTCCTGATCAATATTATATCAACTTAATATACCGTTATTTATATACATCGTCGATATTAAGATTATCTAATAGAAAGTTACTATTTAATACACGTATCAAGTGCACGATGTAAACCAAGCCACTGTCACTAGGTTTAGTTCTGTGTGATAGTAAAATAATGGCATATATGTCAAGAAATATAAAACTTTCTTTTAAGAAATCTCAAAATATTACATGAAAGGAGAAAATAGTTGGGTTATCATATGAACTACAATATGATTAGCTACGACTCAAGTCGCCGTTTCGAAAAATAGACTGAAGTTTAATGGCTCCTGCACATAGGACGCGGTAATGCTTGCCGCGCGGCGGAAATTCGCGCGACAGCCAATCAATATGCTACTTTCTGTAATAACCTTCTAGCTCTTACGGAAAAACAACATATTGATTGGCTGTCGCGCGGACTTCCGCCGCGCGGCAAGTATTACCGCGTCCTCTGTGCAGGAGCCATAAGTGCGAGTCGGCCGATCAAGTCAATCGGCGCCTCACTGTGATTGGTTTATTAAGAGTCGGCAGTTGTAGTCGGCAGTCGGGTCGGCCTGTGCAGTCGATAGTATGATACGAACTTAAAGGCCAAATCATACTAACGATTGGCGATTGACGATTGACAATTAAAGATTAGATTTTAACGAATCAACAAATTTCAGCCTTGGCTTGCTTTGTTCCAATTGGTCAAGTTCCAATCTTCAATCGTTAATTATCAATCGCCAATCTTTAGTGTGATTTGGCCTTTATAGCCCGTGTTACACTACGGATTGGAGATAGAGGATTACGGATTGAAGATTGGAACTTGACCAATTGGAACCAAGCAGGCCAAAGTACATTGATTCGTCAAAATCTAATCTTCAATCCGCAATTCTCAATTTTCAATTTGTAGTGTAACACGGGCTATACTAAACTAGATTTGTAGGACTTGCTTGAATACAGTTCTTTCCGCCTCCACTATGAACGCGACTGCAGCGGCAGCGCTATGCGTTTTCTTGTAGGGAGCGGTGCACTTGGACACGGTGCATTTGGACACAGCCAATCACAGCACCGTGTGATTAGAGAATTTGTAGGGTCCCTTGGAACAGCGACTTGTGATTGGACTGTGTCCAATTGCCCCGTGTCCAACTGATATACACCCATTTGATTACCTTGCACTAGTAAAACCGGATATTAGATATTTTATACATGTACATTACGTTTTTTACATATTTTACGTAATATATATGTATATTACGCACTGAAATATATACTACTTGGAACGCGCGCTGCCTCTTGAGGCATGCGGAATGAGAGAGAAATTCTTTGTTTCCTCTCTTATTCTTGTCTGGTTCATAGTATAGTTGAGAGTGGAGAGAATGTGATACAGTTCAAGTTAAAAGTTAGAGATAATATGAAAAGTAGTGTACACTGAATGGCAATGACTTAAGCTTATGAACGAAAGTTTAAGTTATAAAAAAAATAAATATTTTTTCTCATTTATTAGTACTCACTTATCAACTTATTATTAAGAAAATCAAAGCAAAGATGGTTCCTAATTCAGAAATTCAGCTTATGTTTAGAAATCAGCCGACTTAGCTTTTGGTTCAGACTGTACTAGACAAAGGGTGCTTACGATAGTGAATTCGGAGCGAGTGAGATCTCGATCCGCACAGTGTAGTATATGCTCACATTTACAACTAATATATTCAATGGCTGCTCCTGGGGTGGGACCCAATTGACCACGATATGATTGGACACAGATTGTAATGATTGGTTCGACCTAGTAATTCACTAGATAATTCTTTTCATCGGTTGGTTGTGTCCAATCGTACCGTGGTCAATCAGGACGCTCCCCTGCCCCTGCTTTATTCCTGCTCTGTATCATATCGCAATTCGAAGCAAGAAGTGGTGTATAGAGCAAATCGTACTGTGACGAGTTGCGTGCAGAGGGCGTGCTGGCTCGTTACGCTCGGGAATTTAAGGAGGCCATGGACGGCTCGCCGGTGTCCGGGGATCGATGGACCAAGAGGGAGTAATTGCCACTTCGTTTAACAAAACAAGAAAGCAATTTATTAAAGACGCTTCAAGTACAAAGATACAGGCGCGGGTTAACTCTAAGGCCTGTTCTGCAATGCGTCGTGTGTCGGCGACGGATGTCGTTTGTTGTTTGTCGTACATTGAATGTCAGATCTGAATACGACTTGCCATTCTACAATTGAGTTCGTAAGTCGCTGCAACAAGAAATTACAATTACAAAAATGGAAAGTAAAATATTGCTGAATTATTTGAATCTGTTATTAGTTTCGTTACATATTACAAAAATTAGATTACATTTAAGAAATAGATGTAAAATAACAAGAAGGTGGTGGGTAAAACCACATATTTCAAAAAATATAAGAAACAATTTTGGTGCTCATCGAACATTATTTACATGTTTTCGAACGAATGATCATGAGGAGTTTTTTAAACTTACAAGGATTGTTGTGCCTTCAGTTACGATAAGCACGACCGGTAATTGGGATCCGGTGCAGACGTGCAAACGTATAGGATAATAAGGGAATCTAGTAGTTTTGAGGAGTTTCTTAATAAAATGTATTATTCAATGTAATAGAACTTGTCTTCTTACAATTCCTGATCACGCTCTTATTGCACTTCACATATATACTTTTTAGCTTATTT